GGGGCAGAGGTTTGATCCCCAGGCCTGATGTGCCGGCCCAGGGCTCAGGGTGCACAGAGATGGCAATTGAGACTGGGCATGGTAGGGCGCACCTGTAATCCCAGCTCTTGGGAGGCTGTAAACAGGTGGATCATTATAAGTCTGATCTAGTAGTGAAACCCTGAACATCCTGTAGACCCTTCCCAAAAATACAAAAATACAAAAATAAATAATAAATAAAATAATGTTTTGGTTTTTTTTCCTTTTTCTTTAGGGAAAGGTCTACAGGGTATTCAGGGCCTCACTATTACATTGGACTCATAGTGGTCCACCTGTTTACAGCCTCCCAAGAGCTGGGATTACAGGCACATGCCACCACACCCAGTCTAAATTATTTTTTTCAAAAAAAGAATATTTCATAATATTAATTGAATTAAGCAATAATAATAGCTTTTTATTGTTAACGTGTTTCCCAGTGAATAAAAATAAATAAGGATCTGGAGGCACTAAATTCATCTATTTAAGAAATCCTAACAGCTGCTTTGGTATTTATTCTGTCCATTAGAGATTGAATGTTCCAATTGCTGAGGCTGGATTCTTCACCTATATTGTTCATTATGCAATGCACTCAAAGTGTCAACCACCGATGTAGAATTCCCATTTATCTGTATAAAGTTTTAAAACAAATACTTAGATGTTTATATTTTGAGCTCACTTTTCAGAAGGGCAGTTTTTGAGGTGAATACATTGTACCTTTTCAGTCCTTTTAAAGTAGTACTTGCGAATGAGTATAGCTTTCAGAATCACAAGTTAGTAGTAGTGTGAACATATAGCTATCTTGTCATATAGACCCAAATGATCTCTAGTATGTTTTCTCTATAGCTCACTGTTTGCAAACTCATTTATCAGATACACTGTGTACTAGTAGAAACGAACATTTAAAAATGAGTGAGAATTTTGTGAGCCTTAATCACCCTTACTTTACCATATTTCTTTCTCTATTTAACATCTCACTCAATGTGAAGTATTCTGTATTCAGTGAATGCATTTTAATTTGTTGACCTTAATGGGTTTTTAAATTGTTGACAAATTTGGCATGGAACGATAGTAACTGCTCTGAAATGAGATTAAATACTTCTCTGTTAAAACTGTATGAATTATTGTTTAGGCTATGAAATATAAACTTTCAAATACAAAGCATATCTTCATCATTTACAATCCTTACTGTTTGGAGGCTTTCAAAAGACTTCCTCAAATTAAGAGTATTGATATTTCTAAAAGGGTGATATTACAATGAATAAACCAACACTAGTGATAAATGTTAACCTCAAAACAATTTTTACTGATCTGGTAGAAATAGCTGCAGTTTTTTGGATATTTTCATGGTTATTATTGAGATTATTACAGTTAGAAAATAATAAAATTTATTCATATATTAAAAACAAAAATTTCTACTTGGAAAGTGATGGGATGAAATTTTCTGTGGTACTTATTTTAATCGGTTTTGCAGATGAAACACATTTGTCAATTTTGATTCTGCACTATTTGCAAATAGTTTTAATTTTGTTCAGCACTTACAGATTTCTGTTAGTAATGTATTTCAGGATTAATCCAAATTTTTTTAAAACAGACATATTAGAGATAATTTTAAGAATGTACTTTCTCTCTCTGTCTCTGTCTGTCTCTCTCTGTCTCTGTCTCTGTCTCTGTCTCTCTCCCTCTCCCTCTCCCTCTCCCTCTCTCTCCCTTTCTCTTGTCAGGGTCTCATACTGTAGTGTGGGATGGCCTTTCACTCAGTATGTAGCTCAGGCTTTCCTCAAACTCATGGTGATCCTCTTCCTCAGCCTTCCATGTGCTGAGAGCATAGGGCTGTGCCACCACGCATGGCAAGAGGTAGTTTCAATATGTGTTATAGGTTGAGTGTTATATATTTGGAGGCTGCAATGATTTCAGAGTAAAGTAATTTGATATTTCACTTAGACTCTTAAATGTTAGCATTCATAATATCCTGGCACCATGGGGCAAAAGTTCTTCTGGAAGTGTACTGAGTCTTTATTGGGAGTGTTTTTGGAAACATTACCTGTGAGGTATGAGAGATTCAGAATCTTTAAGCAAAAGAGGTAGGACTATGAGGAAGTCATATTCGCACTGAAATGAAACTTGCTAGTGTTCTACCTGAAGGCAAGAGAGCCAACTATTTAACCTCTGCAGTAACCAGTTGTTGCTTGGGGATGTCAAACTGTTTCCTCTGGGCGTCTTCTCTTTGGCCCACACCAATTCATGAAAAGAATTTTAGGTGAGGGTCATCAGCTACCACCACTCTAAGAAGCTGGCCCAGTGAGTGCCTTAATCCCAGAGGGTTTTAAGAAGCCCACCACAGTATCTACTATGCCCGGATTTGTGTAAAAACTGGGCAGAGCATGTGCAGTCACATATTGTCCACTTTCCTACAGTCTTGCTATATCTTTTCATGCAGGTGGGAGGAAATGTGGACAGTTATTTTCCCCCACTTTCCAAAGTTATGTGGCTCTTGTCTGATGTTTTATCTCCTTTGAAAGAAATTAGTTCTAGTTGCTATAGTAAAGAGATCTTGGGGTAGAGAAGTGCATTAAATATATCTAGCAATTAAATCAACATATTTTTTATCTGTTGTACTTTGCATTGTACTAGATAAAGTTAAGCCTGAGCTATTCCTTAACTTCTTTGGATATTCTGAGCCAGAGCAGGGCTTAAAATAATTGCACAATACATTCCTGCTCAATTGCATGCTTATGGTTATAAGAATGGAATGTTTCTGTAAATACAGCTACAGATTTTATCAGCTTTATTTTTCCTCTAAATGATGTTTGTCTTAGTCCCTACCTGATTTGGTGGCTCACAGGATCAAACAAGGTATTAGATATATATTAATCTATTGCATGCATGGAATACTTAAAAATAATTTAAAATTATTTATTAAACTCACTCTTGGGCTGGCCAAATGGTTCAGTGGATTAAAGCGCCTACAAGCAGGTGCAGTAGCCCGGGGTTCGACCTCTGAGCCTACCATGCCAGCCCCACCCCCCACCCCTGGCGCGCACTGAGATGGCAATTGAGACTGGGCGTGGTGGGGTGTGCCTGTAATCCCAGCTCTTCGGAGGCTGTATACAGGCAGATCACTATGCATCCAATCTAGTAGTTAGACCCTGAGCACCCTGTAGATCCTTTGCTAAAATACAGAAGAAACAAAATAAAAAAATTTAAAAAGCTCATTCTTATCTGCAGATGTATTAAAACCACACCATTGACCATACAAAATTTATTTTACTTCCTAGTTTTCCAAGGAAGTACAAACCAAACTATTTATTTTGCTTCTGTAAGTTTTTATTAAAGAAAAACTTTCCATGATACTAACTTCATGGTAGGTCTTTCACTGAAGTTTTATGGATGCCCTCTCTTAGAAAAGGTTATACACCCTACTCAACACACTACTGGATGAACAGTAAAATAAGTTTATGGTGTGCTCTGGCAAACTTAGGCCTGCTGTATTTTGCTTTTATCTGCTTGTTTTAACATCTTCTACTTCCTGCTTTGTGCTTCTTCAAAACTGTTTATCTGATTTGAACTTCACCTGTTGGCCTTGTTCTTACTGAGGAATATTGAAGGAGGGAAGTTAAAAGAGTGCGAAAAATACTAAATTTTGTTAATTTGGCTCCAGCTGATTTTATACCTGGGAGAAGGAGAGCTGATGGTTCTCGCAAATAGTTAATTAAATCCTGTGCTGGTGGCTTCTGTCTTAGGCATTAAGTCATCCACCTTGTTAGCAGATTCTCTACCCAGCAGGGTTAAGCCTATCCCTTTGGAAACATTTCTGAATGTTTACTTTGTGCTCCAGGTAACTGACTGAGGGCAGGATGACAGTCCCTGTGCAGCTGACCAGGGAGCTGCTCCTGAGTTTTGTAAAGATAATGTGTAGGGGGCCTCACATGCAGACAGACATGTGTTTACCTTCTCCCCTTAGCCCCCTAGAGTTCTTTTCTGTGATAAAGGAACAAAATCTCACTGCATTTTGTTTTCCTAGTTTGACCTTCCTTGATTCTCACCAGTAGGTTTTTACAGTCTGTTGCTTGCCTCTCAGATTAGAAGAGTGCTGGCATGTTTTAACTGTTTCTTAGGATTCAAACAGCCTTTAATTAACAGCAAATTGGTGCTTTGGAATGTTATCAGAATATGGGAGACAGAACACTGACGCTGAGTTTCCATCATTCCAGCTTCTACAGGTACTAGAGCCCCCAAATGGGACAGGGGTGTGTGCTTGCTTGCAAACAGCGTGCCTTTGAAGAGGGTGTCTTTGTTGTATGACATGCCCATGGTCTGCTCACCCGGGCCCATCTAAGTCCCACCTGCTCATGGTTGAGGTGGTAGCAGGCAGTCACTAAACACTCATTGCTATAGGGCTGCAAAACAGCCTACAAATGCTTTGCTTGTAGCACTGGGTTTGCATGTTTTTAGTCCTCTGGTTTCCAGAGCCATCAGGTACAGCTGCTGATGTTTGTGGTTAAGACTCTTTTCTGTGCCAGATTTATGTCATCTTGCTGCCCGAGCTTTGGACTGGTGGAAAGCAACAGTTCTGCTAACGAACCACTCAGATGTGAAGCATGTTTGGAGCAAATTAGTCTTCAAGAGGAAAAGCGAGCGAGGGAGGGGATTTCTGTTTTGAATCCAGAGATGTTGGTTCCAGATTTGTTGCTGGCCCAATGCAGGGGGAAAAAAAAAGAAAAAGAAAAAGAAAGAAAAAAGCAGGTTGTAAAGTTCGATTGTACTTACATAACTAGTTATAATCCAACGAAAAGAATCAGCTTCAATATCTCCTGCCTCCTAATGGCAAATGTGCTGATTGGCCCGTTCTCAGTTAAGGAAATAGACTCCATGTAATGTTTTTTCCAGTGACCCACAAAGCTGTCCTTTTTGTCTCAATGGAGATCGTGGGGTTTTCCTGTGCCTGCTGTCCCTAATTGCCCCCTTTACTGTCCTGTCTCTAGGTGGTACATGCCAGAGTCCTGCTCTCCCAGCCCTGGTCCGTCCACCAGGCCCTCCTTTGCAACCGTCGCTGGATATTAAACCATTCCTTCCCTTTCCTCTGGACACTGCAGCTGCAGTCAACCTCTTCCCTAATTTTAATGCGGTAAGTGCAACAGCCAAATCTGTGTGACTGATAGGTGCTGGAAAACCTTAAAGCAGGGAAGTTTCAGTCACTGCTTTTGTTTCTCTGTGCTGTTTATTTTATGGTTTAGCTGAAAGCTATGGTGAATTTAATTGACCACCTGGTTATATAAAGTCCCCAGAGCCAGGTTTCTTAAAAGGAAAATGTAAAAAGGTCTGATCTTACTGGCTTGATTATGAGTTCATGGTGCCCCTTGAGTGACTTCTGGGTAATACCACTAACTTTTTTTTTTTTTTTGCAATATATAGAATTATAATTTAACATACTTATTAGAAGGAGCATTAAAATTCAAGTACTTATCTGGAAAATTAAATGTCTTCCCTTATTTATGTATTCTACTTTAATTTTAAAACCTACTATTTCTTTTCTAAGTTACTAAAGAGGACCCTGACAATGACAGTTAGTGATAGATTTTATTTATCACTATAGATACCACTATAAAAAAATGTACTATCTATCACAGTACATCTTTCTTCTTTAATTTCAAACAACTCTGGCTCTGGTAGGAAAATCTTTAAATACTGTTTTCCTTCCTGTCCAGTTTTACTTGAGTCTAGGATTTCCTAAAGTACTTCATTTCTTTGGGCTTCTTCAACAGCCTTCCCAGCACAAAATTATTATCTGGCTTCTGTTTTCTGATAGGTTTTAACGGTGTCGCAGCAGAGAAACACGCAGAAGGAAAGGGGAAAGGGGCTTTATTATAAAGGAAAAGGGACTTCATTATCTTAGAGGACACGGAGAGAATTTGGGAAGATAAGGAATTCTCTGGATTGGAACAAAGGGAGGTTGAGGCTTTTATGGCCTTTGCCAGGGTGGGGCTTGAGGGAGAAGTTTAGATAGACCTGAGGAGCTGATTGGGGCCTTCTCTGAGGTGGAGAGAAAGGTGAAAGGAAACTGCATCCTGGGCCAAGTTGGAGAAGAGGAGGGGAGGTGGTCTCTGGGAAGATGAGCTGTTGTTTTAAGGGCTTCAGCCATATTAGATGACCACCATGATAATTCAGCAATTCTTACTAGGGCCAGAACCTATCATTTTCACCTTTAAGGTATCTTTGTAGCTTGACTGATTCATCATGTTCATCATAATTCTTTTAATAAACTGAGTGTGCTCTGAGAATCGAAGTTAAAATAAGGTTGCAAGTTCAGAAACTTGTAAGTGACCTTTTCCACACATCTCGTTCCCCTTTTAGCAGTTATTATAATGTAGCTCTGAGCTTACCTGTGATAGGATGTGTCAAAGTAATCAAAGCAAAGAGGATCGAGAAGAGAGGTTGCTGCTTTCTCGGTAATCTAAATAGCACTGCTTTTTTCCTGCGGCATTCTGCCCCATAATGAAGAAAAAAATCTATCCACATTCTTCAGAAGACTGAAGCAGTTCTTTTCTTTAATAGTACTTCACCATAGGCACCTGGGACATGTGGTCCAGTAGTACAGTAATGTACTTGCTGCTATCCTGCTTGCTGCAAGCAAAGATAAAACAATCATTTTGTTTTTTTGAGAGATGAGGAATTTTTCCTAGGAACTTTATTTTGCAATAGATAGGGCAAAACAGAGCAATATCAGGACCACATTTGCAAAAGGCAAGTTTGTAATCCTAGATGTTTCAATAAGAGTAAAGACAAATGTGCTCAGCTTCAGATTTTCTTATCAGCATTTATGATGACACTCGTGCCCCTGGATGCTTTTCTCCCGAACTCCATTTCTGCTATTCAGATTGATGCCCCCCTGGTGCAGCTCTGCTGTCACATACCTGGGGATAACCCATCAGGGCACTCTACCAGGTGCTGGAGAGTAGGGCATCCTTTCACTTAGGTCCTATTGTCAACTTCAGAGCACTAAGGTGAGAATCTTGGAAGGTAAAAAAAGGCTGAGTTTCAAATTTTCTAGTTGCCCTTTGGAAAAAATGAAAAGCATCATTGTTAGTTCTGTTGACTATGAATATTATTTGTTATGAGAGATAAGTGATATGCTGAGATGGATGACACTGAGGAAATCTCTTCACCTTTAATTAAAAGGAGTAGGCCTGATAATCTCATCCTTCAGGTGTTGTGACATTCAGAACTTGAAGTGTGTGTGTGTGCGTGCGTGCGCTGACAAAAGCAGCATTATATATTGATGAAACTGGACTCTGTAGTTAGACTAGCTAAAATCCCAGAACTGCCTGTTCTAGTAAGTATGATCTTGTACAGATCACATATTCTCCATGTACCTTAACAATTTCATCCATAAAATGGAACTAATAAACTTTATAGATATGAAATAATGATTACATTAGTGCATTTTCAAATGGGTTGGCATGGAGAAAGTGTTTATGTAGCAGGTATCATTGTCATAAGTAGCTTATTAACCCTTCTGAATTTCAGTGTGGCAGTTCATGGATTGCAAAGGTATGACTAGATTCTTTTTCTTGCCTGTATTTTGACTTGTGTTACTATTTCCTCCACTAAATGAGTGAGGCTGTCTCTTGTTACAACTATCATTTTCTCCATGGTTATTTCCTGCAAGTAGTTGTCAGACTATAGCAAGCTGAGGATTGAGCTTCTTGCCTCCAACTAAGAAAGTCATTGCAAAGCCCATAATCCTGTGGCTTTGGCCTCAGAATTAGGGAATCCTGCAGTTTAATTATAAAGTGTCACCCAAAGAGGCATGCATTGACAGCTTGATGACCAATGCAATAATGCTTTGAGGTGGGGCTTAGAGAGGTAATTGGATTATAAAGGTGCAAGTTATACAAATAGATTAGTCCATTGACAAATTCATAGCTGAATGGGCTATTAAGAGGGAGGGCCCAATTGTGAAAAGAACAGGTCATTGGGAGTGTGTCTTTGTGAGGTATATCTTGTCCTCAGTGTTCCTTTCTGATTCTTTCCTTGCTTCTATGCTTCCTGGCTACCATAAGATGATTATATCACACCTTACATCATGAGGTTCTGAAGTTCAAAATGATGTAATCAGCCAATTGTGGGTCCATAAGAATAATAAAGAATCTATGGACTGAAACCTCTGAAACCATGGGCCAAGTAGATCCTTCCTTTTTAAATTGTTATTTCCAGGTGTTTGATCACAGTGATCTAAAGCTGTAGCAGAGCATCTCTTTAAGCAACAACATGAGTTCTTGATTTTATGGAGATGTGACACTCAAACCACAAGCTTAGAGCATATGAAATGTAATATTGTATTGCTATGGATTGATTTCTGGTATAAGAAGTTCATTCCACCACTCTGGCGGGAAAGCCAATCTAAATTTGCTTCATGATGTGTTAAAGCTCTAGATTCTAACAGGCCATCTGCCCAGCTTTTGGTGGGAAGCTTCTTGAGTCATCAAGTTATTTGTTTACACCAGCATTTACAAAATGCTCAGTGCCGTGGTTAGCATGCTCCTTTGTGCACTCAGCTTTTTCTTTGTCATGCTTAGGATACACAGGCTTAAAAGGCTGTCAGTGCTCCTTCCTGCTTAGATCCATCACTCAGCTCTTATTTCTTTGCAAGGAAGTGAGGAGCCACTCTGCCAACAAACTACTTTCACCCATCTAATAGTTTTGAAATAAAGTCCATGAGGTTCTGAGGCTGTCTGCCTGTTGTTCAGGCTATGAAGGTAGAATCATCTATTTGGAATAGAGTGTGGCAAAAAGGTGAGGGCAAATATTAAAAGCATGTTCTTGTATGATGAAGTATATAAAAACATAAAATATTTCTCTGATTACTGTCCTACAGGAATATAAACAAGTTTGAGTCTAGATCTGTAAGAATAATAAAGGATCTATGAAAATAAATATAGTCAGGAGGGGAAAAAAACATACAGAATCAGAACTGTGGTATAGATAGAAAAGAGGATATTCAACAAAATCAATAGGATCTTTTAGTCTTCAGAAAGCTAAAGGTTAGAAAATCACAATAAAATCTGTTATCTACCCCAGGAAAAGTGGTAGACAGGAGTCCAGGAGCTTTCACAGAAAAGAAAGCTCTTTTAAACTCTGTCTTAGTTGCTTTTCTCTTTGTTGACCAAAATACCCAATACCCAATGTTGAAGTAGGAAGAATTTACTGTAGTTTACAGTTTATAAAGGTTTTAGTCCATAGGTGGCTGTTTCCAAGGCAGGGCAGCACAACAGAGAAGCATCACAGAAGAGAAACAGGCAGCAAAAGGCAGCAAAGGCACAAGCAGCAGGGGACCACAACAACTCTCTCTCTCTGCTCCTTATGTCTTATCCAGTCAGCCCACCATTAGAGTGAGCCGTACTCACACCCAGGGAGCACCTTCCTATTAGCTACTCGCAGAATTATCCACACCACTCAGTGAACTAATTCTATACCCTTGATCCCAGAGACACACATTTAATCCAGCATTTCACTATAGATCCAGCCACTCCTCAAAAGTCCTACCTCTGGGGCAGGCGAGATAGCGCAGCTGCCTAAAGTGCCTTCTTAGGTAAGCATGCAGGGACTATAGTTTCATCACCAGACCACATGCTGCACCAGCCCTACCTCTAGGGTGGGCCTAGCTGGCCCAAAAAGGAAAAAAAAGAAAAAAAGAAAAAAAGCCCTGTCTATGACCAAATAAGGCCTTTGGGGGATATCTAGAACCACAATAATGAACTTCCATTGTACCCTTCATCCTGTCCTTCAGTCTCATAAGTGAAGCTGGAGTCTCACTTCTTTAAAAATACAAGATTACAATTGAGTCTCCATTTATTGTACAGAAATAAACCTGGAATGGGACCAGGGATATAACTCAGTGGCATAAGTGCCCCGCCTAGCAAGCACAAGGTCCCAAATTTGATCACCGGTACCACAAAGAAGAAATAAACCTGTAAGAGGATAGATAATATATAGGAAATAATTGGTGAGATATGGTATGACATTTTTCCATTCAGTCAATTACTATTTATTAAGTACTGGCTATTTCCCAGAAATAACAATATCAAGGATTGTGTTAAAACCATTACTATGGTATTAATTCAGTTG